CCCCCCTGCCCCCTACACACACACACACACACACACACACACACACACACAGTGAGCAAGGTCATCCTGAGGCTGGGTAGTCCTGTGTGCAGAGGCCTCACACGCTCCATTCACCCAGTGTGGTGGGTAGCCATTACCATCCGGCCAAAGTCCAAAGGAGGAGAGGCAAAGGACCCTGCCACCTGGGGTGCTCCCTCCACCTGAAGCTACCCACGAAAGGCAGCATACCTAGTTCAAGTGCTCCATCTCCATCACCTGTGCTCTCCACGCACGCAGGATCCTCCTCATGCCCACCAGGCAGTCCCTGCAAAGATTTCGGGCACGCTACTTCTCACCCAAAGGCTGGATGTTCAGTGCAAGTCTATCCAGAAAGGCCTTGCCAACCTACTTCTGAAAACGCAGCCACTGAGAGCCTTACAGAGCAGTGCTTCGGTGGCACATTGGGATGCCCACCACAAGGAGGCGTCCATTCAAGGCCAATAGAGTCCCACCATGTACAGGAAGCCTGCCTCGGGTTTGAACTGGCTTCAACATCTGATTGGTCAGAGGTCCGTAAAATAAATGTTGCAAACCCTGGCTTCTGAAATCCTACGTACTTCTACCTGGATCTTCTCCCTGGGTGTTTCTCCTTATACATCCATCACCACATGCGTGATGTTGACATCTGCTAATGCCCAGAGACATGACTTCCTTTCCCACTGGTTCTTCTCTGAGAAAGAGCATGGATGACACACTGTACATCAATCCTGACTGCAAGCAGCCTTCGTGATTCAGACTTGACCAAGCCCTCCACCTGCAGTCCCTCCACCTGCCATTCCTCCACCTGCCGTCCCTCCACCTGCCATCCCTCCACCTGTCATTCCACCTACATTTCCCATCCAGGTGATTCTCCTTCCCTGAGTCAGCTCCTTCCCTCTGGGCTCCTCTCGCTGGGGCTCCCTAGCCCACTCCTATGTCATGCACACACCCCACCTTAGCACTCAATAGCTTGAACTTCATCTACCTGTTCCTATGCCTACTTTGCCAACGTACTGCAAAAACACAACCCCTACAGTCGAATCATCTGTATGTATCTCTCTAAAGCCAGCAGCAGAAGCAGGCTGACAGGAGATCATTGGTGAGCGCTGTCGGGAGACAATTACCTGTATTTCCAGCACCAGACCATCACAACTCCCCACCAACCACCC